CTTCTGGTCACCAGACCTAGAAGGCTCTTGTTTATAAAAGTCAAGGAAGAGTTAATAGGCTGCTTATTATTTTCATAGCTATAAATTCACAGAATCTCTGCAGCTCAGACTATTATGACTACTGCATTGGCTTTGCTGGCCATTAAATTCACTATACTCAACTGTCTTTAGCAATTTAGAGCCATTACTGGCTTCTGCCACCTGGAATTCCATTTATATCAATAAGTTCAAGTTACCAAATCTGACAGTGCAAACTCCTGTCATTATTAGCATGAAGAACCAGTGGAGTTTTCAAATATGTTGTGACTTCCATCAAGTACATATTCTCTGCTATGATTATTAAAATGTTCTCAAGAGAACCAACTCCCAGAAGTTGTCCTCTGACTTCCACAGGCATGGCATGGCACACACAAAGGCATGTACACATAAAGGAATGAGGTTTTTAGAAAGTGTCCTCCAGATCTACCCAGAAAACAAGTGATCAAGTCTAGCATGATAGACACATCACCTATAACATCTTAATCTCTCTAGCCTCTATAAACAAGTACTTGTAATATACAAATAAGAACAGTTCTAGTACCTATTCTGTTTTGCTTGGTAAAACACCATCTAACTTTAGTCAACTAACAAAAACAAAACAAACAAACAAACAAAAACAGCTCAATCACTCCTAGCCCTCTACCCTAAACCTTCTATCAGAAAACTTTGTTTAGTAAGCTTCTATCAATGAATTTGGCCTGATCCAATCTATATGTTCTTTTTACTCTGACCCCACCATTTCAGATCCATTCTCATGCTATCTCTTGGGACAACCATAAGCAAAAAAGAAGCAGTCTGTTTAGTGTGTCTCGTATCTTCTCATGGGTCACACTTCACATCTCACCATATGGGGGCTATTGAACCCAAGTATGCATAAAAGCAGTGAGAGGTGGCAAGGGCCAGTTCTAAGGAAGATCAATTAACCTTTATAAGACAATCACTCTAAGAGAAACCATAATAGATTCCTTGGGACCAAGACTAACCTCCTTCACACAGGGCTAGAGGAATTGGTTTAAATGCACTGAAGCACAAAGGAGTACAAGGTACCCAGTTAATAGGAATCTACTTATATTCCCATCCCAGTGTTACATTTCCATCTTTTCTCCAAAAGTATTAAAATGTTAACTTAGAGACACTACAGAACTGGAAATTCAATTTGAGTTGTAACTCAAACCCCTGTAGACTTTGGATTTGGTTTCAAGAAATCTGTGCCTTTGGCTAAAAGAGATAAAAGCTTTCTTTTAGGGCAACCAGGGGCTTCAACTTCCTTCTGCTGTTTCTGAGGTCAGAATTTAAAGCCTTTTTCTCCTGTAAGTTCTTCAGTATACTTTGAAGGGAACAATCTATTCCATTATTCTTTTGTTGTTGTTCTTAGGGTAGACTTGCTCCCCAAACCTTGCCTTCCTTACCTGTAGTGTGCAAGTTATAAAAGTACTTGTTACTTAGTGCCATCTGTGTCTCTGCTGTCATTAAAAACAGGTCGAATGTTGTCTAATTACATGAGAGACTCAATTTTACAAAAGAACTAAGTCAAGAACTTATCCTTAGGGTTCTATTCCTTTAGAGTTGTTGATGGCATACATTTCTGACTAGTACTTGGTAAAAAGAACATTAAATATAACATAGGTAGCACCCCATGTCCCAAGCTAATACAATGTCAACACACCATCTTGACCCTTTTCTTTCTTAAACATCTTTGGCGTATCTTGACATTAAAAGTTGTAAACTCTTCTATTCATTGCTTATTTCTTTAAAAAAATGAAAACGGGGGGTGGGGGCGGGCACTGTTTCTAGGCATTGGCAGTTCTTGCCTTTTACCTTGCTGAGGCATAGTCTCATCAGTGCTGCTGCATTAGGCACTCCAGATGGCTCTCTAGCCCACAAACTTCCAGAGGATGTCTTTGTCTCCATCACACTGTAGAAATGCTAGCATTACAGGTGTATGCCACCACATCAGGGTTTTTTTATGTGAGTCCTGAGAGATCAATCTCAGGTCATTGGGTTTTGAATACTGGTACCTTTTTACCAGCTGAAACATCCCCCAGTCTTTACTGCTTATTTCTGTCACTACCTTTAAAAAACCAAAACAACAAAAAAATTTTTTTATGAATTATGGAATTATGTACATGAAGAACATTTACAAAATTGGTTTTGACAGCCTAGTGAAAGTAGATGGCAGTACAAAGGGGCAACTATCTGTGCCCCTTGAAATAAAGATTAAAATCTAGACTTTTCATGTCAACAGTTTCTAGTCAAATGATTCAATACCTTTGAAGGGCAAATGCTCTCTGCCTCCTTATGTTACCTTCTACCTAGTATGGAAATACTAAGTTGGCTAAAACTCTATCCAACTTTGTACCAATAAGGCCTTTTCAGGACACAACATCTAGCCTCTCAATTCTTTGTTTATAAGCAGGAAATCATACTGCATACTTTCTGTGTGTCTGTAAAATGAAGTATGTCATTTCTGGGCACTAAAGTAGCTGGCTTTCCCTTCCAAAGTACAGAAATAATAGGAATATGAGGTTAAAGAAATACTGTCTAAAAGATTGATAGGGGTGGGAGGGATTACCTATTTTACAGATTTCTTCACAAATCCAGAGTAGTTCTGAGACTCTAACCAGCAATTCTTTAAGTGTCTCCAACATGCTTAGACATTGAATCTGTAGTATACAACCACAAAGTCCTGGCTTCAACTGCTAGCAAATAAACGATTTTAAACTAGCAATTACTCAATACTAACTTGTCAAATCAATGGTAATTACTTTATTCAGATATCTCAAAGAGTCAGGAACTAATAAATCTAGTTATAAAACTAAAGAAATATATCCAACATATAATATATTTTTATTACTTTTATTTACTTTAACACTGATTCACAGGTGACTTTCAATTTTTCTTCAAATAATTTTTCTTCAGTTTATTCCTTATTTATAAAGAATTATATGCTTGCCCCTTTAAGACAGTGGTCACACTTTCAGAGTACTGAGAGTAGGCCATGCTTCCCTGCATGTTCAACCCAACAGAGAGTTAAGTTCTTAACCAGGCCCTGGCTCTCCCATGCTCCTGGTCACATATTCTCTGTTGAACCAAAGCATTTGATGTAAATTTTCCTACCAGATCCCATAAAACTTTATATTAGAAAGTCTGATAATCTTCCTTAACCCCTCTATTTCTCTCTTATTCTCACTCTTTATGAAGCTCCTCTCCGGGCTTTAAATGGAAATTAATGTTTAAACTAATGTTTCCATTTAAGGCTCTCATCATGTTTTGGCCTTTCTCATATACCGTTCCACTTACTGTGTAACGTTTCACCTCCCACCTTGAAGGTCCATCACTGCCTGGAGGCTCTTTCTCCAAATAAAGCTCATTCCTGCAAGAAAGCATGTATTAGCTTTCCCTTTCCCTAGCCTGACCACTGTTGTTTTATCATTATTTCTTCATTATTATATTTAACATATTCCAGATGGAAAATAAAGTTCTAGTAGATTTTAGAGCCCTGGTGTATCTTTGTATTTTTAATTTAAAAAAGTAGAATGTAATAAGATCACTCCATTCTCTACAGGACTAGAGATGTTCAGTAAAGGAGAACTATATCACATGGTTTTTGGAGCCCAAAAATGACAAAGAAAACACGTAGTAAGGATTCTGAAAGCATGATTCTTTCATAGCATGACTCTTTTATCCCGACTTTTACTGCTGTTTCCTCATTACCTTTAGAACATCCTCTACCTCCTTCCCATGCTATCACCCTCAAACTAGTCTAATAACTTGAACGTCAAGTCAGAAATAGGGGAAAATAACCTACTATGATCATTAATATTAATAATGACCCTAATTTTTATTCTGAAATGTTCTGAGTACTTACAACAGAAACTGCTGGGTCAATTTGTCGTAAGATTTCTCAAAAGTACATCTCTAAGCACAGAAATATTAAAGAGATTTCCCAGTAGCCATTTATTATTACCTAGACCATTTCTCAATGGTCTCTCCATCTTCTTTCCCCAATATCCAACACGCTTGCAGTAAAATACTTCAATGTAATGGTTCCTATTATCAACCTTATAGTAGGGCCACTGAATACAAATAGTTAAT